AACCCAAAACCCCCCAAACCCTAAAACAAAACCCTAAACCCTAGACCCTCTAGACCCTAAACCCTTAGGGCCCAGACTCAAAGCCAAAGCCCCGAAACCGCAGGCTCCAAATCCTGAACACCCGAGCTCCCTTGAGGACTTCCTCCAGGACGAAATCTAAAAGGTTTAAGGTGCATATACCATAACAGGGATTCATAGTATAAGGGTTTAGGGTTTAGGGTTTAGGGTTTAAGGTTCCTATACCATGCTGGGGATTCATAGTATAAGGGTTTAGGGTTTAGGGTTCAAGGTTCATAATCATATACCATAACAGGGATTCATAGCATAAGGGTATAGGGTCCCCTAGTTAAGGTTGTACCTGCACGAAATATGCATATGAAGGGATACGCGCTGCTAAACCCTAAGCCTCAACAAAAGCCCGAGATAACACTTCCTGGAGCAAACTTCGGTCCCAGAGGACTACTGAGGACTGCGCGGGAGGTGGTGTACCTGCAGTTGATGATGCCAATGGCTCCTGGTCGCAGCACCCTCCCGGCTTCAGTGTTACCTTAACATACCAAAACCCATGTTTTGAAATCAGGGTCCCTATATGTTCCATATATGAAGATTTGCGATGAGAACCTACAAAAATGTAGGTGATGGTAGTTCTACCGATATTATTCAGCCATAAGCCTCAAACCCTCAACGTAAAAACCGCCGCGCCACTAATCATTCGTCCTAGCCCTAACCCTAAGCCCTGAACCCTAATCCCTAAACCTTCAACCCTAAACTCTAAACCCAAATCCCGAAACTCTAAACCCTAACCCGAACCCAAGGCTTTGCTCTCTGACAAACAGGCAACTTGACGCATAGGGGCAAAGTAGGCCAAGGCACCTTTAAAGCAGCAAACAAACCCAACATGATAGGGCTCTAACGCAGAATAATACTAGTAGTAATTGCTATACTTATACATCGTAACGCTGATAACAACGGTAACAACATTAACAAGCATAATAATTGTAGATCGCAGTAGTGATTGAAAGGCGTCTGCTTGAGGTGATAGTAGACTAAACGAGATACGGTAATCAATAAATGAGTCTGGGCTTTTAGTTTTGCGCGAACCCCAAAATCCTAGACACTAAAGTTGAATTGCCCCCCCAACAACCCTAAACCCACTCCAAACCCTAATCCGTGCTCTCCCGCGATCCTGGCGTAGCCGTCACGCCCAGGCCTGTCATGTTCACGAGTCTCCGGCTTCGGAAGATGGAGTCCGAACCACCCAAGCGCCAACTCCCAAACTCTACACCTACCTTAAGGACGATATGAACCCTAAAAAGGTTTAAGGTTCATATACCATATAGGGTGTCATAGTATAGGGTAGAGGGCCCCTACTTGTAAGGGTCATTGGGTCCCTATAAGGTATGTTCGATAAACCCTACGCAGCCTACAAACCCAATAAAACCAAAGCCCTAACCATGGAAAACCAAAGGCCCAGGCCCAACATCCGAATCAAAAGAATCCCTAAACTTCGGTGAATTCAAGAAGCATTCGCTAGGGTCAAGGTTTAGAGGTTTAGGGGTTTAGGGGTTTTTAGGGTGTAGGGTTTAGGGTTTAGGCTTTAGGGTTTAGGTTTTAGGCTTTGGGAGCTTCTGACACGTACCGGCAGACGCGTCAGGGGCCCTGATTTCCTGAACAGTCCATGCATGACGGAAGACAAGAGACTCCCCGGGGTCTTAGGCCTTTAATGGGTTTTTATAAGGGGTGTAGGGTTTCGGGCTTTAAGGGTTCCTATAAGGTTATATGGCTACGGTTTAGGGTCTAGGCTTGCAGGGTTTAAGGTTTATAGGGTTTGGGGCTTCTCTAGGGTTTCATAAGGGGCCTTTTAATAGCATATATAACCCTAAGAGTCCATGTGCCGAAATAGAATATACTTTGGCCTTATAAAGTCTATTGGGCACTTTAGGGCCAACGTACATACTATGGGCACATGGACGCTTAGCGTAGGAAATGCAATGGATCCCAATGGCCGTATGATAGTCCCTTACCCTAAACTTGGAGGCCCAGGGGACTTAGTAAGTCGGTTATAAGTAGGGTTATAAGTACCCTAAATGGAGATAACCCTACTTATAACCGACTTACTAAGTCCCCTGGGCCTCCAAGTAAGGGTCCAAGTACCTAATGATCGTGTACTCTCCCAGCTGCTAACCAACATAGTGCTATCCCGAACCCAAGCACATTATTCTTGGGCCCTTTGGACCCTTGCGGTGTTATCGCAGTCCCTAAACCCTAAACCCTACAACCCTAAACCCTGAACCCCAATCCCTACTAAGAACCAGGGAGCAGAAGATGCCATCGGCCCTTGAAGCTTCAGGAGCACAGGGCATGGCAAACGAGAAGACAGGAGAAGTAAGTTTAGGGTTTAGGGTTTAGGGTTTATAGGGTTTAGCTTCCGGTGATGAAAACCATGATGCTGAACAAGTAACATAAGGGTCTTAATAATTAGAAGTCAGAAGAGGATTTTGGGGAGCATATATTCTACTATAACTATATAAGGAACCCCAAGTATAGATAGCTGCTTCGGCCCTATACTATACTACTGCTGTCGCTCATGGGAGCCATGTGTCTGCTGTTGGCATTTGCTTGGTGCAGTTGTTGTTGCGATTGCCGCAGCTGCTGATGATTATATGAGGTTGATAGTGGAGAAAACCCTCTGGAATGTCACCGGCTCATGACCGAAGATGAAAGATGAAACATGCCATGACTGAAGAAGGTGAGCGACGATGATGATGGTGATGACGATGGTGACGAACACAACTGAAACTGCTGCTTGCAAACATTGCCTTTACTGATCTCCTTCGGCACCGCCATCATCATGACAACAAACAAGCTTGGTTACCACCCCTACATCTGCATCGTGATCGCCACAACCCTCAGCTAAATCCGGAAAGACCTCCATACACAAAGTCCTAAACCCCCGCCCTACACAACCCCCACCTCAGAAAGCAGGGTGTGCAAATGGGTCGTTTTCTAAATTGGGGTCCCTCCTTTTTTTTTTTTATAAGGGTGCCGCATTATATTGGGGACTTTAAAAGGGGACCCGAATATAGAGAACTACCCAAATCCGAAATCAGCTTCCCGAGCTCTGCTCTTTCAGAAGAGAGCACATATCAAGCCTTCAAGACGCTTGACCCTTGACATCCCTAAACTCGCCACCCCAAAAAACATCCTTTAAACCCTAAGCCCAAAAAAACATCCCTGAACCCTAAACCCCCAAAAACGCCCCTGAACCCTAAACCCCAACAACATCCATAAACTCTAAACCCCAAAACATCCCTAAACCCTGAACCCCTAAACCCTAAACCCACTAAGCCCTAAGCCCTAAACCCTAAACTAGACCCTAAACCCCTGGACCTCGGAGCTGTTCGGCGAGCTCCGTAGCTGCGCGGCTGCTCTCCAGGGGGAAGAGTGGGACCTGGTTTTGGGTTAGGGTTTAGGGTTTAGGATATTTGGTTTAGGGTGTAGGGTTTAGTATAGGGGCCTTAATGATTAGAATAGCGTTTTGGGGCCCATTATACTATAACTACAATAAGGAGCCCCCCCAAAATAGTATTTTTCTGGGCGGATGATAGAGTCGACAGACGCATCCGAGATGCAAATGAATTCTGTGAAACATGGTATGCTTAGGCGACGCGGTGCGTCCAGAAACTGCACGTGCCGGCACGAGGGGGCTCGACTGAGCTTTTAGGTATCTCGGCAAGGACCCAGGAGAGGACTTTCGGATCTGGGTCCGATCGGCGAAGCAGTGTTATGGGCGCATCGTCGCCAAGGTAGGCAAGGAGTTCAGCCCTTGTCGGTTGGCACGGCCCGGGTGTAGGGAGGGCCGGAGGTGCCGTCTGGTATCTTTGCCACTCACCATGGCGGACACGCTTAAGACGACTTTTGTCCTCCATTTCCACTTCCCGGACTTCGGCAAGACTCATAGGGTCCATAAGCTCACAGGCTCTGGCCAGGCATGCCTTGGAGGCTTTTAAATGGCCTTGAAGTCTCGGCACGGTATGGAAGTGCCGCAGGCAAGCAACGCATGTTGGATGGGGAGCGTAAAGTCTTGCTGGGGCGGGCAGCCCGTGGCGCCTGGCAACGTGTACACCTAAGTGTTTACGCAGCGGAAAGCTTGAGTCACAGAAGGGGCATGGGAACTCCTGAACGGTATCTGGTGCCGGGGGAACTGCAAGGACGTGGGTGTCGCGCTCATGCCTGGTGGCAACCCATCTGGCAAGGTCCCGGGCACATGTGCGGATAGCAGCATTAATCTGCCGTCGCCACCACGTGTGGTCGGAAACCATAGCATCAGAAAGGGTGGTAACGGGCGAAGAGGTTGCGAGGACTGGGCCTACTCCAGATTGGTATAGC